ATAATTCTTTATTGCATCTTTGGAAATACAATCTATTCACTACATTAAATTACCCACCTTAGACATTTTGAGCTGAAAGCATTAATCTGTGATTCAGCCAATGATGGAGAGAGAAATCTACTACTAGGTCAGGGGAAGCCCCATGACCTCATGGATTTTCTTCTACGTCACATACGCGTGCCCAAGGTCAAGAGGTCTCCAATATGGAGGGGGACCAGGCTATTAGCCAGGAATTTGCAACTGCCAGTTCAAAACAATTCAAATTCATAAAAAAAGTACATGGTTTTAGATATATTTTCAGTAGTACAATAAGAAAAAAACAGAACAATGGGAAAAAGTTGCCAGTCCAAAATCAAAGTTGTCAGTCCGTTTGGTGGGTGGACCAAGCAGGGCAGGTCGTTGGTTTCATTGCTCCTCCGCTTCCTGCCAGCCAGAGATTGTCAGTCGGGGCCAGTACCAGGGATTTTTCCAGAGCACTGTCTCCTCTATGGGTCACTCACCCTTTGAAGACCTGCAGGCGTTCCCAGAGGGGACTGACCCGACTATCAGAGGTTTGATTGGACACACCCTTGCTCACTTTGTCAAAGTAAAGGGACCCCAGGTGGGTTCGTCGAAGTCTGATTCCTTGGGTGCAACCTCGATCCGCCACTCGCAGCCCGTTCTCGAAACCACTCTGTGAACCATGCCGTGGGGGTGATGTGAGAAGTCATTGGTCCTAGTGACCCGATATTTATACCCTCACCCTCAATTCTTGAAGTAGTCGCTCTTGGTAGTGTTGTGGCTTCCGGATTCCAGATGGCGAGATCCCAGGTAATTTTGACTGCGCAGCTAGCGCCCCTGGTCCGACAGATTGCTGGATGTGGCGGAGGGCACACAGAACCAGCAGAGTCTGGAGCCAAACCTCACGCCCTGACCTGATCTCTCGATTCCTTCCCCCAACCCAGGTAACCCAAACTTTTGTTTGGCAGGACGAGTAAAGGGGGATGGACGCGTTCCATGGAGTTTCTCGGTATTTTAGTCAGAAACAGTCCACCACATCCTGAGAGCAGAGTTGCAACTCATTAACTTTTTGTGGCCAGCACACTGGAAGGTAATACAATGTGTCTCCAGGACTCTGAAGTCTCAGAGGCGGAATGCACCAGTCTCCTAGACCAGCAGATATATTGATTGGTGGGACTCACATGGCTATGTGTGATATCCTGCAGTGTTATCTGGCTCTCTTGGAAGGGGCTACCTCTGTGCAGCAGGATGTTGTTTTGGCTGCCTGTGTTTTCGCTGGCGAACTGAGTCATGGGGTGTGTCACCGCCTCAGTTACACAGAATGATGGGGAGATGGAGAGTGCAGTCTCGGAGCTTCGAGAAGCCACCGACCAGATGATACAGGTGGAATCCGAGAGCCAATTGGCTGCTACCAAGGGCAGATGCCCCTACTCTCCCGGGGGAGAGAAGAGTGCCCCCCCCCCAAGAAGGGACCGGGTTTCGGACCCTCCTCTTCCTCGGGTGGTTTCCCCCCAGGTCGTGGGGAAGCAAGTTTGATGCTTCTGTCTGCGTCAAGGGGAATGGGCAAGTGTTCGGCAGGGGGCAGAGTCTGAACTTTTCAACTCTTATGAACCACGAGGGGACTCACATCAACGAAGGAGAGTTTGCCCCCAATGTAGAACCACCAAACCCATGGCCACATATCCCTGTCGCAC